ATGATTTATATAACCTATTTATAATAAAAATGATATTTTTTTAATATGTGTTTTTAAGAATACAATTATTATACATTTAACGTTAATTGAAGTTGAAAAAAATAAAAATTTACCTTTGTTTAAGTGATTACTCAATTAAAATGATTTATATAGTATTTGTGGTGAAATTAATAATATTTTTATGCTTTTAATACTAATTAATGTAAAATATGTATAATAATTGCACTCTCAAATTAAAAAATCTCTTAAAAATTATACGTAACTATGTAGTACTCGCAAGATAAAAATTTAAGGGAAAAAAAAAAACAACCATGTAGTACTCTGTATCCACCAAATTATGTGTCGCTGATTTTTATTAATTAAAATTTTGTTAATAATTTTACATAGAATATAAATTTCAATTTGAAAAAACCCCCATTTCGGTAATAATTTGAAAGAACTTTTAATCTATAAGTGGTTTTTGTTGAGGAATTTTATTTGATAAAAAAATAATTTGGATTAATACAAGAAGTAAAATGATTTAGGAAAAATCTTTTTATACCATACTTTTGTATATATATATTTTTTTTTGATTGCACAAAAAGAGGTAAACCTTTCTTATTCCTTTATCTCATTTTATATGTATGTCATGCGAATTGAATACAGAACTTTTTATTTTCAATAAAAAAAAATTTCACTGAGTTATTTAGATAATTGATTATACAATTTTTTGCTTAAATAATTGTTATCCATATATCACCTTCATTAGGTGGGGTAGAATATGAGCTTGTCATTGAAGCCAAAATGTCTCCTTTTTAAAGGATTGCAACTGTCTCATGCGGCAGCCAGCCAGTGGTGTGCTTGGTGGGGGCAACATAAATTACATAATCTCTCTCTTTTCTTTTCTTTTCTTTTTTTTTCACTATGATTTATATAACCTATTTATAATAAAAAAAATTTTAATATGTGTTTTTAATAATACAATTATTATACATTTAACGTTAATTGAAGTTGAAAAAAATAAAAATTTACCTTTGTTTAAGTTATTAGTCAATTAAAATGATTCATATAGTATTTGTAGTGAAATTAATAATATTTTTTATGCTTTTAATACTAATTAATGTAAAATATGTGCACCTAGCCCTTGCGGCCTAGTGGCAATGGCCATTCCGGTGCATTCCCCTCTTTTCGGGCTGAGTTTGAAACCAGCCCCTTGCAAATATGTTCAAAAAAAAAATTAATGTAAAATATGTATAATAATTGCACTCTCAAATTAAAAAATCTCTTAAAAATTATACGTAACTATGTAGTACTCGCAAGATAAAAATTT